TCACTTCAGGTTTCGTCATCAGGACATTAGCATGTTCACTCGAATTAACTGAATTGCTCCCTGTGTTGCATTCAGGGAACATTGTAATTTTTACTGTTTATGAGTTTTAAGGGATGTGGAAGTTGATGGGATGATCTTTTGGACTCTTGCTCGAACAGTATAGTTCATTTTTGGAAGTTTTCGCCCTGGACAAATGCATTTCTTGTGTGTGTGAGTATTTGTTTATAGATATAGTTTTACTCTATAGTTGATGTGTCAATACACAATTTAATATCACAACATCTTTAGTTCTTGATTTGGATCCAAGTCCAAATGCTCAAATGTTCTGACAAAATATAAAACATATTTTTATAAGTTAACATGTTCTTATTAAGTGTGAATGAAATGAAGTAGATCTTGTGTTGGGTTGGCGAGTTACAAGTTCTGTTTATGTTGTTGATTGTAAATGTATTTAAAGCCTTTATTTCTTACAGCAGGATCATTCCATTGTCCTGGGCTCAGGTAGGACCTGGCCGGAGAGAGAGCAGAAGGCTCACAGACAGACGGAGTGCCTCCCCCAGTGCTGCTGTAATAACCTCCTGGAGCTGAGCAGACTCTGAGAGATATCCTTGAGCCTCACCTCCATCTCGCTAACAGGTCACGCCGAGATCTGCAGATAGTGAGCTATAGTTAAGGCCCATATCTCCTATCTGCACTTGAATGATGGAGCAAACCATGTGGCGACATGTTTATTGTCACCCAGATGGTCCACAATGCAGTGGCCTGACGAGCCACATCCATCCCTAATATAATTCATGGGGTGGCACCATTGTGGGGTGACTGATAAGGCCTTCACTTTGCCCTGCACTGGTCACTTGTCTCAAGGAGACTCCAAAGAAACTTCACTCCGTACAAATGGTGGCCAAAATATCTAATCCCACTTTAGAGCCGAAAACTTGTGCTGGGGTTAGAACACTGAAGAAGGCCATTTATAATAGAAGAATTCTGCCTTTCCCTATGGCTCTGTGGAGAAACTCAGCATTTACTTAAAGAGGTTTTTAAAAGCAAATGTAAGCAAAGGGAAAAGTGCAGTTGATACAAGAGCTACAGCTAAATAAGTAGTAGTAGTAGTAAGTAAGCTTTATTTATATACCGCCTTTCACAGACCAGAGTCACAAAGCGGTTTACAATTGTTTTTGTCTTTTTTTTTGTCTTTTTTTCGGGCACTTGTCCTCTCACTCCACACAGAGATGGGAGCAGGGTCGCCAGTACAGGAGGCGCATGCCAGACCTATTGGACATATTTTTAGTGGTAGGGGAAACCGGAGTACCCGGAGGAAACCTACGCAGACACGGGGAGAACATGCAAACTCCACTCAGAAAGGCCCTTGTCCGGCCGGGATTCGAACCAAGGACCTTCTTGCTGAGAGGCGAGAGTGCTATCCACTCAGCCACCGTGCCGCCCAAATAAGAGCCAGTTAAAAGTTGTTTGTATGATACATTTTTGCATGAATACATGTTTTACAACTGTTCTGAAAGGCTTAGATTACTCATATATGCACATTTTTTTATCTGCCAAAAGCATTTGATGTTATTTAGTCAGTATAGTGTAGAGAAGGTTATCCAAATAAAATTACAATTATTGTAATATCCAACAAGTCACAATGATTCAGATTGCTGCAGCTCGAGTAAATACAGACTCTTAACACCTCCGTGATTAGGAGACCCACCATCCAAACTCAGAGAAATGTTATTTTTACAGATGATTAGCTCGGGGGTGTGCGCTGTGACATTTTGATTGGGAAGGACACAATCAAACACTAATAAATGGAACCAAATGCACTGTCGTCCCTGGAGACAGCGGACATGGACAGAGATGAGGAGATCAGAGACGCTGGAACCGCTCAAATCTGTTTCCCATCATATCCCTGTGGTCCCTCTGTCTGACTGAGCCAATGAGGATAAATGCATAACGATATTTGGAAATGTGGTCACAATTATCTATCGTTCTTCCTGAAACCCTGGGAAAATGCTGATGTAATTAAAAATAAAAAACGCCACCAGGACACAAACTTTATAAGCGAGTGAAGCGAGCAGAAGCAAAACTTTGTCCATGTTATTTCCTTTGTATTTAAACAGCGCATCAGCAATTTCCACATACAGTCTATGCTTTTTCCCAGTTTTTCTTGCTTTCACACTTTTCATGGTTCATTTTGCACAAAGAACAGAAAATGTCCTTGCAGCGCAACTTGGTCTGCAGTAGAGTAGTGATGTGACCACGTTTCACTGATGTTGCGTGACAGGGCAGAGTACCGAGCCGTATGGCAGGACTGATCATGGAATTGTGTTGACATAGTTTTAGCGCAATATAAAAGTGATTGTCTGGAGTTTGTCAGAAAAAAAGAGAGAGGTACTTGATTTGAAAAAAACGACCCAAGCTCCCTCTCCCTTCCTTTCTGAAAGGTCTACACCTACGTTTCCGTAACACATTTGAATGTTAATGAGAGAACACATTATACACATACATTATTAATACACATGCACAGAGGTTTTCAGAATTATTTGTCAACGTTTTCATGAAAAAAATAGTGTTTTAATGCACACAAAAAACGATCGCGGTTAACACGGAAGTAGCTATTGACGTTGATTGAACATTTTAAGACACATCTGCAGAGGATCTGATTATGGATATAGGTTCAGTTTATAAATTGGTAACTCAACGCGGATGATCAGAATTCTTTGTTCAGTTTTAATGAAGTTTCAGAGCCTAATGGAGGCTCGATTTGGTGGCTCCGCGAAAACAAACAACTGAGCATGTGCGCAGCTATGAGCATCAGCGCCGATGATTGACAGCCCTTGGCATGACTTGGTTGGTTAACGTGGACGGCCTCTGGTTCAAGTCTCCCCCTCATCCTCAGCTCTGCATTCTTTCATAATGTGTAATGTACTGAACTGCTAATGCACCAATAGTTCATTCTTCAACAACAAGAACTAACTAACTAACTCTCGTGGATTCTGAGCTTTAGCTAAGAGAAGGGAAGGCGGGACTTACCCGTAATATTAGAATTCATAGATATACATATATTTCACTTTGGAGAGACCCAAGAGGGAAAATGCAGTTAGAAGTTTGTTGATTGAGTATGTTTGGCGCCCTAGGCCCGGGAGAGATGCTGTTGAGTGCGGCGCTTGCTCGCGCGCATAATCCCCCCCGGGGCCTAGGCACTGGTGACGGCAGAGGCAGTAGGCAAGCACGCTTCCATGAGAGAAGGAGGAGGTGGGGCGGCGGAGGCTTTGCAAACTTCAGAGGCCGGGAAGTGGGCGTCTCCGGCTTTTAACTTGCTGTCCTGGTGGTTATTGGTGGATTAGATGTGGGCGTTTTGCTGGTATAATGAGTAGAGGATGAGCAGGCTTGTAGATCTGGCAGCAGCGGCCGGGTCTACCACAGTGAACTTTCGCGAAGAGCTTCATTTCACTTTGGAGAGACCCAAGAGGGAAAATGCAGTTAGAAGTTTGTTGATTGAGTATGTTTGGCGCCCTAGGCCCGGGAGAGATGCTGTTGAGTGCGGCGCTTGCTCGCGCGCATAATCCCCAAAAACGGGCAGAGTTATCTTTGCGCGCCGGGACGTGAGCGCTCGCTTCACAATCAACCGGACGCTGCCTGGGACGTGAGCGCTCGCATCACGATCGATACCAGACGCTGTAGCAGAGTTGTCTTTAAGCGCCGGGACGTGAGCGCTCGCATCACGATCGATACCAGACGCTGTAGCAGAGTTATCTTTGAGCGCCGGGACGTGAGCGCTCGCATCACGATCAACCGGACGCTGTCTGGGACGTGAGCGCTCGCATCACGATCGGTACCAGAAGCTGCGGTGGAGTATCTTTAAGCGCCGGGACGTGAGCGCTCTCATCACGATCAACCGGACGCTGTCTGGGACGTGAGCGCTCGCATCACGATCGGTACCAGACGCTGCAGTGGAGTTATCTTTAAGCGCCGGGACGTGAGCGCTCGCATCACGATCAACCGGACGCTGCAACAGGGTTATCTTTGAAGAAGTGCGTGCCGCCACCAGAATCTTATTGGTTCACTTACTTTGCTTTGTATTGCTTTGCTGGGAGCTTACGAGGAAGCCAGTAGCCGTTGTGCAGCCAGGATAGCGGACGCGTCTGGCCTGATGTAGGTGGAGAAAGCCGAAGAGGACCAGCGCCCCAGCTGTTGCAGAGAGGTGTGGGGGAGCCCCAGCGAGGCTGCGCGCGTGGCGGCGCCTATCCTGAAGGAGTGAGCTGTGTAGAGCTGGGGAGACAATTTACAGAGGAGCAGTAGGGATTTTAGTCGAGCTCTGAACCAGGTTGCTGTCATGGGAAGAATGTCTGGAGTGAGAAATAGAGGTCCGTTAAGATCTCCTTTTTGCAGCGGAGGCGAGTGTAACGCATAAGGATTTGTAGGGGCAGAGAGATGTGTCCGAGCGAGCTATTGCTATATTGCAGGCTCCTTTGATTTTTGAATGTTTGAGACGGAGGTTGAAATGGTCAGGGGACATTATGTTGGGTGAAAAAGAGCGACCTTTGTGTAATGCTTCCACTACGTCGAGATTATCACACATGACAGAGATCCTCTTTCTCTGCCACGTGTGATTCCACGGCGCGCAGGCCACGACCACTGGGAATATCACGTGTAGGGCAGAGGAGATGCTCCGGTGGAAAGTAGCGGCCACGCTCGGCAAACCAATGGTCCTGGAAGAATCCCCCAAAACCCACGGAAGGGGCAGCGTCCGTGTAGAAGCGGAGACCTGTAGGGGCAGAGACATATCGGAGAGGGCCATTGATGATGCAGGCGCCCTTACGCTTAGAATCTTGGGTTGGAGAGTAGATAATCAGGATAGTAGGATGGTCGGGAAAGCCGTGTCTCGGACCGCATGAAGGTTGAGTGAGCAATGGTGAGACGCTTATGCAGAGAAGCCACAGAAGGAGAGCAGGAAGATGCTGCGAGGAGGGCAGACATGTACTTGGAAGATGAGCCGGAGTTCAGCGCCGCTGCAGGATGGGCAGCGTGATGGGGAGCCTGCGATCAGAAGAGTGAAGAATACAGGTATGGATGCCTTTGATTAGGAGTCCGATTGACGGCTCAGCGCAGCTACTCGGCCAGCTGCATCTGATAGATCAGAAGATTAGGTAGAGAGATGAAGCATGACCGCCGAAGCGACCCTGGGAGCATGGTGCGAGTCCAGCGCAGCGCGGCATACTCAGCCGGGCTGCATCCATTAGAAGCAGGATAAGCTTCTGAGAGAGTGGGTTGCAGCAGTAGCAGTAGCAGCAGCAGCAGTAACCTCAGATAATAACAGCAATAGTCCTGTATCAAGCCGCGGCAGCAGCAGTAGCAGCAGCAGCAGCGGCAGCAGCGTCCTTAGAAATAACAGTAATAATCCTGTATCAAGGCCACAGTAGTAGAATGTTGTTGTAGCTGTTCAGTGTTTCAGTAAAAGAGATGCAAGTGAAGAGAGATGGCAAAGTAAATGAAGCAGCAGCAGCAGTAGCCGTATGAAGCAGCAGCAGTAGCAGTAGCAGTATGAAGCAGCAGCAGTAGCAGTATGAAGCAGCAGCAGCAGTAGCAGCAGTAGCCGTATGAAGCAGCAGCAGTAGCAGGAGCAGTATGAAGCAGCAGCAGTAGCAGTATGAAGCAGCAGCAGCAGTAGCAGCAGCAGCAGCAGATGCAGCATCCGTAGATAATAACAGCAATAATCCTGTATCAAAGCCAGAGCAGTAGAATATTGTTGTAGCTGTTTAGTGTTTCAGTAAAAGAGATGCGAAGTGAAGAGAGATGTCAAAGTACATGAAGCAGCAGCAGCACGGCAGCAGATGCAGTATGAAGCAGCAGCGGCAGCAGTAGCAGCAGTAACGGTAGCAGCATGAAGCAGCAGAAGCAGCATTAGCAGTATGAAGCAGCAGCAGCAGTATGAAGCAGCAGCAGCGGTTGCAGCATCCGTAGATAATAACAGCAATAATCCTGTATCAAAGCCACAGCAGTAGAATATTGTTGAAGCTGTTTAGTGTTTCAGTAAAAGAGATGCGAAGTGAAGAGAGGTGTCAAAGTAAAGAAGCAGCAGCAGCACGGCAGCAGTAGCAGTATGAAGCAGCAGCGGCAGCAATAGCAGCATTAGCGGCAGCAGTAGCAGCAGTAGCGGTAGCAGTATGAAGCAGCAGAAGCAGCATTAGCAGGAGCAGTAGCACCACAATGCGATTCATACGAACAACAGACGTGTCACGCCAGCGTGCGCCGCTTGTCTCCGTGAGCCAGGTTACATACGTGTCTGAAAGAGCCGAGCCGTAGAGACAGGTGCAGCCTGGGAGCCTGCGGAGCGGCAGGAACAGCAGCAGCGGCACATGTAGTAGTAGGAGCAGCAGGAGCAGGCAGCAGGGACAGGCAGCAGCAGGAGCAGGCAGCAGGGACAGGCAGCAGCAGGAGCGGCAGCAGGAACAGGCAGCAGCGGGATCAGGCATCAGTAGGAACGGCAGCAGGGACCGCAGCAGCGGCGGTCAGAGAACCATGCCCATGGTTGTTTAAGAGCCTGAGGAAATAAATCAACCCGAATCCGAAACATTCCCATGCGAATAACAGATGTCCCCTGGAGCCATCTTGCTGCTTTGGTTATGGCAGATACGCATGAACGATCACTTTTCCATGCGTTCATTAGCTCCAACTCCACTTCAAACCCATTGCAGATTCACATTGGGCCCCTTTTCTTTCTGCTGCACTTTCAAAATGCAACAACTGCAGTTTAGTTACCCAATTTAATACTAGTGACCTAGCTATTTAAATGCACGGCCCCTCCTTCCTCCCGCAGATAGACAAATTTAAATACATCCATTTAACAATAGTGACCTGCGAGTAATGAGATTAATGCTGTAAAGATGGCGCCGTGGCAAGAGTTCTGGTGTGTGCCGTCTGGAGCACAATGGGGCAGTCTTTGCACATATTTCCAACGTGGTTTTACTGCAAGTGGCAGAACATGAATCTGAATTATGCACATTGCTCCTCTTATATCCCTCAGACAATAGAGATTGATGCCATTTAATATGCATTGCCCCTCAGTTAGCTCAAACACGTGTGAAAACGGAGCCTGCAGACCAAGCACGGGCGAAGACTGACGCCTGCAGTCAAGTGCGTAGGGCAAAAACCAGCCGCCTGCAGCCTAGACTCCGGGATTAATCCGTCCGCGGTCGGCACACTCACTGTACTCACATGCCAGGAGACTTGGGAAAGCAACGGGACAACGCGGCACCGCCAATTGGAGGCAGGGACACGCACGGCACCGCCAGACCGTCTGCGCGCGGCAGCAGACCATGAGGAACGAGCAGCACAGAACCTGCAGAGGGGCCCCGCGGATCAGCCCACAGAGGAGGAAAGCAGTGGAGACACGCGAACCACAGCAGGTGCAGGAACGGGGAGGAGGAGCAGACCACGAGCAGCCAGACTGAGGACAGCCGGGCCACGCGCACGAGCAACACGTGAGCAGAAGCAACCCCTCCAGAACAACGCATGCATTTGCGAACAGGTGCGTTTAGCGACATGCACCTTGCAGGCTTCAGAAGTTTGCAAACTTCAGAAGGCCGGGAAGTGGGCGTCTCCGGCTTTTAACTTGCTGTCCTGGTGGTTATTGGTGGATTAGATGTGGGCGTTTTGCTGGTGTAATGAGTAGAGGATGAGCAGGCTTGTAGATCTGGCAGCAGTGGCCGGGTCTACCACAGTGAACTTTCGCGAAGAGCTTCATTTTGTATCAACATTTAAGGCCAGGAGGTCAATTTAACACAATTCTTAAAATTTGTAATTAATTTCCAGAGTGATAGTTCCAGACTATCCCTTTAAGATTCTAAATGTGTTAAATAATAATAACAATAACAATAATAATAATAATAATGAGCCAATGGATTATCATATTATCTCTCTTATCATTCATATAGCCACATTTTTATTCAGATTTTTATTATTGAATATTCACCGTGATTTTCTTCCTCACCTACCCTCGTTTGCGTCACCTTTTGATAGTCTCCGCTCAACTGCTGCGTTGACAAAACACACAAACAAATGCGTGCGCCGACAACAAAAGAAACACCTGTATGATGCAATGGGATGCAACCTTCTTTCTGCTAAGAGTCCTTTTTCCACTTTTCCACCCAATAGTGACCTATATTAGTATTCTAAGTGCTCTATCAAACACTCTAATTCTCTATTAATACGATTCAATTTACTTAGGCTAAAAGCTTATAATTCTTTTTCTACTATTGATTTGAGTGCGATAGGAGCATTTATAGCATGGTTGCACTCTGGACTTTTGGGCAAAGTAATGGCTGTATTTTCTTCTAAGGTAGCACACTACACATTTTAATATGCTGAGCTTTAATGATACATTTCTCTGCGCTAAACTCTGCATAGCCATCCATAAGAGTATATCTAGAGCTTATTTCTCAACAAGAGCAATAGCTGAAGTGGTGCCTATCGAAGCAGCATCTTTATTCGGATGGAAAATGAATCCACGAGAAACATGGCCAGGCGCTTTATTGTGTATGCAGTGTGTGGCCAGGTTCAGATTGGCAATCAATTATCCAATTAAGACTGACAGAAATGCACATCAGGAATTCCAGCCCATCAGTCCAGGCTTCTGATTGGAACATGATTAGAGGGACTTAATTAAACCCTAGGTGCCGGGTGTTTAAACATCATTTGTGCAGCATCGGAGGGATCTGAAAATATAAATCTGGACCTGGGAGGATCCACACAGGTGCAGGAAAAATACTGGTTAAATTGTCGCTGGTACAACACTTAGGGATATACTGTAGTACTATTGGCATTTAGTCAAGTAACTAAGGAGTTCTTTGGATGTGTTTAGCAATCCTCACCTCAGTACGGCGTATTTTAAGGTGACCAAATCTGTTTTGATTATTTCTTTTGCAGCACTTTTTGTTTGTTTGAGTAATTTCTATTCATGCAACCGGTACACGTTCGTTTTTTACTTTCCTTGTTAGTTCATCTTTTGCTATCCTGTAATACAAAGATGATTAAGCTGTGACACACACATTTTTCTCGTTAGGTAACCATGTTCAAGATAAAGGAAGCATAAAGGAGCACACGCCGCTTAATTTTTTCAATATTGATTTTTCAAATGCTCAAAATATAGGTATTGGTCCATGAGTGTCACAGTAGTATATATAGTAGTAGTCTAACCAATTATAGTTCATTTATTTGAAAAGGTGGTCATTATAGCTGTTTACTGCAATGATCAACCATATATCTATAATTTGTTTCAAACTTACTTTCTAACCATAACACACTTTATAGATGGATGGGAGTGTGAAAATCTACTGCTAAAAATACACTAGAATTACCTCAAGCCTCAAGTGGACCATTTTTTCAATTCACAATATTGGATCTAAACGATTTCCACTGCTAATTCACAGTTTATGCAAATGAATAAATAACAAGGAAAATGCATGTATTGAACCATTTTCAGAGCAACCCCTTCATGGATGCAGGAGAATTTAGATTAATAAACCATGCATCAATCAGTATACATATACTTTGAGTAAATGAGAATATTTTTGAAAGGTATACTATGTAAAAATCTGATAGCAATTCAATCAGGATATTTTTTCTTTTATAATAGACACAAATATACCTTGATATTTAAGCTAGTCAATCATAGATACACGTGACAACTAACATATACAATAGCTTATTTATTAACACAATGAATCATTAGTTTTTTTCCCCAGTTCAGCGTTCACCCTGTATGTCTGAATGTGTCCTGGTGGTCCATGTGAAGCAGGCTCTTGTCGTTTTAAATACTTGCCCTTGGGAAGATCTGAGGGGAGAGATAAATATTAGTGGAAATTGCAAAGTACAATGCAATAACAATAGCGCTTGAGATATTGTGCTACATTAGTCTTAAAACCATTCCCACAGTTTAGCAGCCTGTGAATAATTCAAGGACAGAGCTGTGTATGTGCTGTGGAGAATGAAATGCAGCTGCCTTCCAACGTCCTAGGCTATTTTCCTTAAGCTGCGGCCTAGCTCCTAGCTTCCTCTCCTCGGTTGTTTGTATTGATTTCTGAGCCGTTCCTTCCTTCCATGTCAGACAGTGTGAAATGGAAGGCACTGCATTTTAATATTGGGTTGTGAATTAATCATTTTTTCCCTGATAGCCAAGGCACAGGCTCTGTCCCTGTTGGAGAACACCTTATCACAGTAAATAGGATTCAAAGGAAAGAGGAGCGGTATAATCCTCGACTAATTGGATGAAATGGTCAGGCTAGAGCCCTCCTTCCTAGGGCTGAGGTCCAAGCTTCCCCCCTCCGTGGGGATCCAGGAGCCACTGAAGAGGTTATTACAGTGTGTCCTAGGGGAGTATTAATATCTCAGCCCTTGTTCAGACATGCAAATAATCTAATTTAAGGTCTAGCTAATTAACAACTTAGCTATAGTAAAGATAAAGAGGCTCAATAACAAGCTTTTGGAGGAGAGCAATATACCACCCATACTTGAGACGCAACAATGTCAACAGGGATCCCAGGGCTGTCCTCTGAACAGTTGAAGACATGCAGCTTCATATAGCTGGTCATATACTGATAAAATGAAAATAAGATCAACTTTATTCATTCGGAAATGTCCTTGTTGTGGTGCACATATGTAGTAAACATTTCAGATTCACACAGCTATAATCTGGAACAATCTTCCTGAAAATGTGAGACTGGCTTCTTCTCGGACAGTGTTCAAATCCCATTCAACTTTATGTATTCAAAATAGAAAATTGATTTAAATCCAGGTTAAACACAGATCTGTGTAGCTCTGCATACAACTGAGGGATTTTATCTTCACTCTTTTTAATGTACTGTGATTATTTAATGGTTATTTGAGTTGCCTAGTGTATGAATTGTGCGATACAAATAATCTTGCCTTGCCTTGCCTACATTGTAAGGACAGCACAACATATTTGCTTCTTTAGCTTCGGCTTTAACAACTTCAATTATTCATAGCAGAAGAAGAAATATGTAGATTTTTTTAGTTTAGTTTTCAATTGGGGATTACTTTTCGCAATCTATTCACTTCTTTGTGCTCATCTCTTGAATTGCATTACGTGAGTGTTGTGACTGCCGGCTGTTGTTGCTTAAGCGTCAGAGAATGGAAGATGTTTTAAGGCCATGAGCTTTTGCCGTGTAAATGGTTCATCTCGCTTCAGCAAGGTTACATGGTCAAGGTTGCCAAATTACCGACCCGCTCTAATCACCCGTGCCTCCGAGAAAGTCTTGATCAAAGCTCCCTGCCCCCGCCACAACGTCTCGCCCTCGCCCTGCGCATCTGTGATTTACAACATCAATTTGCATCCATCAATACCACAGCTTTTACTTTAAATACAATTTTTGCTGCATTTTTAAAACAAAGATTTCCAAATACGTCACTATACACGCGTATGCTTTCTCCCCATGTAACCAGGTTGACACTAATT